ACCACAATAAAAAAAAAAATACCAGAAGAGACATGGAAAATACATTGAGAAATTATGTAATACTTCTGATAGGGTGACAGAAGAAAAAAAGAGCAATATGAAGAAATAATATTTAATAATTTCCCTATATTAAAATATTGAGTCCTTATTGTTAAAAAATTAAGTATGCCCTGAACACCAAAGTGAAAAAAGTTAAATCCACAGCCAGATATACTGTGGTGAAATTGCAAAATATCCAGAATTTTTAAAAAGTTACCAACTATCCTACTCTGGGTAAGTAAAGCCAGATGCCATAACAGACAACTCTCAAATCTGTGGCTTGGCAGAGTAGAAAGTGTATTTCTTTTATTTATTTATTTTTCAATACCTTCATTTTATTTATTTATTTATTTTTATGTGGTGCTGAGGTTTGAACCCAGTGCCTCACACATGCTAGGCAAGTGCTCTACCAGTAAGCCAGAACCCCAGCTCCCCAAAGCTTATGTCTTGTTCATGTTACAGAACTGTTAGAGTGTTTCTGAAAACCTTCCACATGGCCTTCCAAAGATCCAGGCTTTCTCTTTTCTCAGTGCTTGTGATACTTGTGGTCTCCATTGGCACCACTGTATGCAACCAGGGGATGAGAAGAGACTGTGGAGATAAGATACATACCAGCTCTCAACTGTCTCATATCAAAAGTGACACATCACTCCCACTCAAACCATGTGGGAATAAATAATTTGTGGTACATCAAAGCATTCTCTCTCTCTCTCTCTCTCTCTCTCTCCCCATACATACACAAACACTCACACTCACACACACACACACACACACACACACACAGAACCTCTATGTGTGTGTGTGTGTGTGTGTGTATACATACATAGAGAGAAATATACATGGGGAGAGAGAGCTATATAGAGACATATATGAGTACATGAGACAGATATCAATATTTTTTTATTTTTTTATTAGCTCACATGACATTACAATGATCTTCGCAATTCATACATTTGAATCATTGGGGTATAATTTCTCATTTTTCTGATTGTACAGATTGCAGAATCACACTGGTCATAGAGTCATCTATAGATATCAATATTTTTACACCTTAAAAACAATATTAATAGAGGCTGGAATTGTAGCTCAGCTGTTAAGTCTTGCCTTGTATGTGTGAGGCACTGGGTTTGATCCTTAGCACCACATTAAAAAAAATAAAATAAAGATATTGTGTCCATATACAACTAAAAAATATTTTAAAAAACCAATATTAATAGAAAAAAGGAAGTTGCAGGACATGTACTTTAAATAAATAAAGTTTTAAAAATGCAAATACTAATATGTTGTACATATATAATACATATATTATTTATGTAAGTAATACATGGAGTAATATTGTATATTAAATATATAATTCTAGAAAATCTAATACTTTGGCAAGTTCAATAGAGTGGTGAACTTAAGTGGGGAGAGAGTGAAATAGGTTGGAGAGGGGATAACACTGAGGGCTTCATTTGTATTAAATGTTTCATTACTTAAAACATCTGAAGCAAATATAGCAAAATATTAATATTTAATAAAGCCAAGTATTAGGTATATAAATATCTGTTTTCCATAACTTTGTGTATTTGCAGTATTTTGTAATAAGTTATTTCTGGCACCTAACAATAATCATTTAATATTTTTCTACTATAAATTTACATGTATTTTTTATGTGTGTATATGTATATACTCATATAAATTCATGTTTTAAATGTTATGGAGCTCATAAGATTCACAGTATTGTGTTACATGTTATTTTTACTCAATAGCATTGTAGCTATCTTTTATATTAATTAACATATATTTAAAATATTTTAATAACTAACTGGAAAGAAAAATATTTTTAAAAGGGACCTCACACAAGGAAGGGGATGGAGAAGCTGGAAGGAAGAGAGAGAAAGGGGAGAAACTTGGGAATGAAATTGATCAAAATATATGCATATATGAAAATGTCACAATCATTCCCACTATTATATATAATCATAATGCACCAATAAAATTTTAAACATAAAATATATCAATGCATTATAATTTCAGTAAGCATTTGTACCATACTTTTTAACCAATAAATATATTTTTTTCATTTTCATCATTAAAACTACAAAATATTTTACCAATGTCTTTTTCAATTAATTATATGATTATAATCTTCACAAAAATATACTTAAAATAAAGATGCTTGGATAGAAGAAATGTACTTTTATTCCTTTCCTTTTCAGGACTGAGGATTGAACCCAGGGCCTTGCACAAGGGAGGCAAGTGCTCTACCACTGAGCTAAATCCCCAACCCCAGAAATGTATTTAAAGTTTTGCTACATACTGCCATGTTGCCCTTCAGAAAAAAGATATTCTATTTTATATTTTAAGTGTATTCAAGATTATGTACTTTTTAATTTTAGTCTTTTTTAAGAAGCTGGTAGTATTCAATGTTTTCATCTTTATTTTGTAACTTTTACATATGTTACATGCCATAGAATAGGAAATATTTGGAAAACATAAATGAGAATTTCCTAGTTTAGGTAAATCTATGGTCTAAGTGAAAAGGAAGATACATTCTCTGAAAATGAATTTATATGTGCATTATCTCTAAACTGTTTTCTCTTGAATTTTTACCCATAACTTTCCCAAAGTGCATTGTATGTGAATTATGTTAGTATTTATATGAATATCAAAACCATGTAAAAGACATCTAGAATGGAAAACTATGTATATCCCTTAAAAGCATGAGGGAATATTGTCTCAAAAATCATTTTGTTTTTAAGATACCCTGAGGTAAAACATGAAGCATATATATTTCTTCTTTGATTCATATTATTAAGTCCTCTTCTCAGAGGAAACAGATTTGGGATTAAAGTCCATAGAAGAATATATAAAATGAGGTACTTTCTTCTTGTAACCATTAAATGTGTACTGGGAGGGAACTTAGTGAGGATGGAAAAACTAACATTCAGTAATTACATTGTTTCATGCAACCTCAGAGAAGTCTCTCTTTTTACATATTTTTAGTTGTAGATGTACACAATACCTTTATTTTATTTATTTATGTGGTGCTGAGGTTCAAACCCAATGCCTCACGCATGCTAGCCAAGCGCTCTACATGAACCACAGGCACAACCCCTCAGAGAAGTTTTTGAAGAAGTTTTCTTTTTCTTATATATGGCCTTTGACTATGCAGTGTTACAAAAGCGGGGTGACAAAGCTGTTATTTCTACTCTATATATTCTCAAGGTCTATATATTCTCTTATCTATTTTACCAGCTTTAATAAATTTGATTTACGGGTCTCTGAAAATGTAAACATCACAATTGATAGAGGCAGTCAGGACTGGTTCTCCATAAGCAATTGTTTTAAGAGAGCTATATTTACTTAAATGTAAAATTTCTCAACAAACTACTTATGATTATAAATTGCATATTGCTAACAGGAAATGTGACAGATCTTGAAAAAATATTGTCTATAACCTGAAGGCCAGTGTTATGTGCTTTAGGTATTTTGTACTCTGTAGAAAGTGTAACATTGATCTTCATTTTAACTGGTAACTCAACTTGTCCTGGAGTCTAATTAGTCTAATTAGATGAGAATTGTAAAAGATGGAGAAAAGAAATCTAGAAGAAGCAATTTTTTAAAAAATTCCATAGAGGTCTGGGGTTGTTGCTCAGTGGCAGAGCACTTGCCTTGCACCTGTAAGGCACTGGGTTCGATCCTCAGCACTACATAAAAATAAATAAACAAAGATATTGTGTCCATGTATAACTAAAAACAAATTTTAAAAATTTCATCAACAGTTTCCTGCTATTTCTTCAAGTTGCCCTGAGTACCTAGAGAGAGGAGCTTCCTCTTTTGTTTCTAACAACAGACTATTGACAATTAAAATCATGTTCCAGGTTTTGGTAAACTCGGGCCTCACCCTTTCAGATTCTGGTTTGACAACTACTGTTGGGGTGCAACAAAACAAAACACAACCTTAGCCAGGCTGATAGGGTGCTATGTGAAAAGAAATATAGAAGAAACCACCTCAGAGGAACTTAGTAAAGTTAACCCTGATTACAAACTTCTTATTGCCTAAAAAAATGCTTAAAATAATAATGCTATAAAAATTTAAGTCAAAATAATGCATAAGTAATATGATTTTTTTGTATTATATGCTCACCCTAGGTTAGGCCTCTATAAGCACTAATCACATAGTTTAAGATGTTGTACATCCATATTTTGAATCTTGAGAATCACATTAAAGAAGTGTACTCAGGCTGGTCATGTACTCAGATTCAAATTGACACCCAGCAAGCTTTCTTTACTCAGCTTTTATAATCCAAGGTCAACTGCCTATAATTTTATTCAGCCCTCTTAAATTGCATTCCTGATAAGTCTTCTTCACAAACTATCAAATTGTTTCTATGGATAATCCTCTAATCCAGTCAGACCACTGGTCTGCTGATCATCAATTTAAATTCAGCATTTGTTTCTACTGGACAAATTTGATTTACGAGGTTGCTCAGACAATATTTTATAACTTTTAGTGATAATCTGTTAAGGACTGTAAATCAAATGTCAGGTTTAATCTAATTGTCCCTTAACTATGATTGCAACTCTGTGATCTCAATATAAACCCTTGATTAGTCATACTTGATTAGTCCCCTGCTTCAGCATTATTATGAGAATTCGGGTCTATCCTAATGGCTCCTGATAGTCAGTGATTTTAAGTGGTGTCATACAGGGCTATGTTTTATACCATTCCCCTTGCCTTGTACTTGCCTATTTATAAATTCTTTTAGATAACCTAGAATCCCGCCCTCTGGTCCTCGCGCGCCCTCCTCGCGCCGGTCCCGATTCCACGTCTGGAGGAGAAAATGAAGCCGGGGAGGTGGATGGCAAGTTCTGAAACACTTCGGCGAAGCTTGAAGTCTACTTTATCTGATATGAGAATGGTAACCTCTACTTGTTTGCGAGATCCAGCCTCTTGGTGAATTTTTGGATGAAGCCATTAAATTAATTTCTTGCCATCATGAGCAGAAGCAAGCGGGACAACAATTTTTATAGTGTAGAAATTGGAGATTCTACGTTCACAGTCCTGAAACGGTATCAGAATTTAAAACCTATAGGCTCCGGAGCTCAAGGAATAGTTTGTGCAGCTTATGATGCCATTCTTGAAAGAAATGTTGCAATCAAGAAGCTAAGCCAGCCATTTCAGAAGCAAACTCATGCTAAGCGGGCCTACAGAGAGCTAGTGCTTATGAAATGTGTTAATCATAAAAATATAATTGGACTTTTGAATGTTTTCACACCACAGAAATCCCTAGAAGAATTTCAAGATGTTTACATAGTCATGGAGCTCATGGATGCAAATCTTTGCCAAGTGATTCAGATGGAACTAGATCATGAAAGAATGTCCTACCTTCTCTATCAGATGCTGTGTGGAATCAAGCACCTTCATTCTGCTGGAATTATTCATCGGGATTTAAAGCCCAGTAATATAGTAGTAAAATCAGATTGCACTTTGAAGATTCTTGACTTTGGACTGGCTAGAACTGCAGGAACAAGTTTTATGACGACACCTTACGTAGTGACTCGATACTACAGAGCACCTGAGGTCATCCTAGGCATGGGCTACAAGGAAAACGTTGACATTTGGTCAGTTGGGCATCATGGGAGAAATGATCAAAGGTGGTGTTTTGTTCCCAGGTACAGATCATATTGATCAGTGGAATAAAGTTATTGAACAGCTTGGAACACCGTGTCCTGAATTTATGAAGAAACTACAACCAACAGTAAGGACTTATGTTGAAAACAGACCTAAATATGCTGGATATAGCTTTGAGAAACTCTTCCCTGATGTACTTTTCCCAGCTGACTCAGAACACAACAAACTTAAAGCCAGTCAGGCAAGGGATTTGTTATCCAAAATGCTGGTCATAGATGCATCTAAAAGGATCTCTGTAGATGAAGCTCTTCAGCATCCATACATCAATGTCTGGTATGATCCTTCTGAAGCAGAAGCTCTACCACCAAAGATCCCTGATAAGCAGTTAGATGAAAGGGAACACACAATAGAAGAGTGGAAAGAATTGATATACAAAGAAGTGATGGACTTGGAGGAGAGAACCAAGAATGGAGTTATACGAGGGCAGCCCTCTCCTTTAGGTGCAGCAGTGATCAATGGCTCTCAGCATCCATCGTCATCGTCGTCTGTCAATGATGTGTCTTCAGTGTCAACAGATCCGACTTTGGCCTCAGATACAGACAGCAGTCTAGAAGCATCAGCTGGACCTCTGGGCTGCTGCAGATGACTACTTGGGCCTTGGGGGGGTGGGAGGGATGGGGAGTCGGTTAGTCATTGATAGAACTACTTTGAAAACAATTCAGTGGTCTTATTTTTGAGTGATTTTTCAAAAAATGTAGAATTCATTTTGTAGTAGTTTATTTTTTTATTTTCAAGTGATGTAATTTAAAATCTAAGTTGTGTTTTAAAACAGCAACAAAACTGTATTGTATTTTTTGCTGTAATTAACTGTATAATGAAAACCTAATTATTTTATCATGTTTTAAAATTTTTACAAAAAAAAAAAAAGATAACCTAGAATCATATCCTCTCATTTTAACTCCTGTTGTGGAATAGAAAGATCAATATATTTCTTTATTGATTTGAACTGGCAACAATATTGATAGACAGTTCTATTATCAAATTATCATCAGAAATACTTAAAATCAATGACACTAAAACACCACTATTATTCGGAGCAAATGATCCTATATCCTATATCATAATTAAAGTTAGCTGTAAATGAAAGAAACCCACCATACCTGGCTGGAAATGTCTCTTAATGGCCTAGGCACTGAAAATAAAAGAACAGGTGCTGGGGATGTAGCTCAGTGGTACAGAGCTTGCCTAGCAAGTACAAGGCCCTTCACACAATCCTTAGCACAAAAAACAAAAACAAACAAAACAAGTCATTTGCTTTTATATCTTTAAAACCCCATGGCTACATAAATTGAAGTGGAAGTCCAAAGTTAATATGGTGATTGTTAGTCACCTTACCCCATTTAGTTACAAAGGAGGCTGGGAAAAGTACATTTATCTGAGAAGCTATGCACCCAGATGAAAATAGTGCAAGAATTATAGAACAAATATTATGGCAGCACTGTCAGTAAATCTCAGCCAGAAACTCCAAATCATTCATCAAAATTTACATATGCATATCCAAAAGTACTATACATCTGAAAATTAAAATGTGCATATCCAATAATTCTAAATATTTAATTTTTCAGACAACCCACCCTGTGAGTTCACCAGAAAGCTGTATTACTTAAACTATTTCACAGATGCCTTATTATAATTATATCTCTGCCTTATGATCAGTCACTAATGAACTGTGCTTTGAAATCATTGGAGATAAGAAATCACTGAGGGGTGCTTTATGGAATAGCCTATGTATTCATTTAAGGGTCCAGAATATTTTCTAAGGAACATCTTGGCTCATTTCCATGCCACAATGGGTTATTAAACAGGTTAGAGTTAATACCAAGATTGACTTCAGTAGCTTAGTGATTAATCACAAAAACCTAATTTTTTCTGGTACTGGGGATTGAACCCAGGAATGCTTTACCACTGAGCTACATCCCCCAGCCCTTTTTATTTAATTTTGAGACAGGGCTCACTAAATTGCCAAGGCTGGCCTCTAACTTGAGATCCTCTTGAGTCATGGGATTATACACATGTGCCACCATGCCTGGCTCCATACAAACCTATTTTAAATCAGAAATGTGGAAAATTCCTGTACACAGTGCATGAATCATGGTGCTTTCATATTCATATTCACTTCTCTCATCTCTTTTCTCTTTCTTTCTTTGTTTCTTTTTTTTTAAGAGACAGGGACTCACTGAGCTTAGTGCCTTGCTGTTACTGAGGCTGGCTTTGAACTCATGATCCTTCTGTTTCAGCCTCCCAAGCCACTGGGATTACAGGCATGTACCACTACACCTGTTCACTGCTCTATTTTAAGGGAAATTACCAACTCAGGGTCCCAGTGTGTGCTAATTAGTATTCTTGATTATAAGTAACAGAGTTGCAATTCAAACTAGCTCCATCAATAAAAGCTTTTTTCTATTGGCTCAAATGGTTAAGAAGTCCAAACTGGGCCTAAAGGTGTACATCTGTAATCCCATCTACTCAGGAGGCTGAGGCAGGAGGATCACAAGTTCAAGCCCAGCCTCAGCAATTTGGTGAGGCCCTATGTAACTTAGTGAGACCGTGTCTCAAAATAAAAATAAAAAGAGCTGGACGGGTGTGGTGGTGAATGCCTGTAATCCCAGCTGCTTGAGAGGCTGAGGCAGGAGGATTGCAAGTTCAAAGCCAGCCTCAGCAATGGCAAGGACCTAAGCAACTCAGTGAGGCCCTGTCTCTAAATAAAATATAAAATAGGGCTGGGGATGTGGCTCAATGGTTGAGTGTCCCTGAGTTCAATCACCAGTAACCCCCCCTCAAAAAAAGGGCAGATGGGGATGTGGTTGAGTGCCCCTGGGTTCAATTCCCAGTACAAAACAAAACAAAACAAAACAAAATCCCCAAGAATGGCTAGTTTATGTGCTCATCCATTTATCTACTTGGCTGTTCAGTGCCTCTTCCATGGTATGTTTTCTCTGGTGGCATCAACCTGTGATACAAATATCTTCAATTTTTTGTGCACATTTCCATAGGTCCATCCCTGTGTCCTGTGCCTCTACCACAGATTGTATTGCCCTCAAATATTTCTCTTTTTCTTTCTAGCATCCTATCTAGATGGTCAGGCTATTCCCCACTGCCCAGGACTCCATAAATATTTCCACATTGTGGCTCTTTTCCTTTACACAAAATGCAGGGCAGTTCTATTTGGAGTCTGCCATTTGTGCAGATTTTCTTTCACCACTATCTTTAAATGCTTCCCCAAGCATGGCCATAGAGGAACCATTGTCCATTGTCAGTTTGCATCTATATATTGAGCTGGACCATATATAAAGCACACTCAGACATTTTTCTCCTCCCTCAGGTGGTCAGTTGTACAAGACCCACATAGGGCTACTGGTGTGAGCTGAGGAAGGGATGCTAGTATAATTATGGTGGCTGACATGAGGTATGACTTACCATGTGGCTTACTCATACCTTTGGGCCTGCTTAGGATTCTGGATGTGTGGTTTTCATCTTACAATGGATTGCTGCTTGGCCCACCCAATATTATGACTTTGTATGTCTGAGAGGACCCAGCCTAGCTCCTATAAGCAATTCTTGACACAAAAATAGTTACTTACTGTCCCCTGATCAACTGTTGCTTCTCTACCAATGTCTAGGAGCCTACTCCAGAAAGATAGACTTGTTGTAATTCTCCCACTGGGACTTGACATAAAATCTCATACTACATCTTTTTCTACCAGACACCCCCATCAAGTCTGCTGAATCAGCAAATCTTATTGTAGCTTGGACTCATGCCATGGAGCCCTTTCCTACCCTAGGCCCATTAAGTTGGCAGCCTTTTGTGACACTTAGTACATATGCCCAGAATGGTATTCCTAAATTCAGAAGGTATTCCCTCTAAGACCTAAAGAGATCACCAGGTAATAAGGTTTCCCTTCTTTGTAGGAGGGATATAAGATTCAACAACTAGTTTTTACTTTACAGAGGATGTCTTAGCATGTCCTAACCATGGTCCCTTAAAAATTTACTGAAGTTGGCAGGCATGGTAGCACACGCCTGTAATTCTAACTACTTGGGAAGCTGAGGCAGGGTAATCACAAGTTTAAGGCCAGCCCAGGCAATTTAGCAAGACCATGTCTCAAAGTAAAAACAGGGCTATGGATGTAACTCACTAGTAGAGTACTTACATAGCATGTGTGAGACTCTGGAATCAACACTCAGTACTTCAAAAAAAGAAAAAGAAGAAAAAAATTAATTGAAGTATAAGATTCCTTCTGATCACCTCTTCCTCATTGTTTCCAATTAGCATAATGTCATCAATGTAATGGATTAATGTATTATTCAGTGGAACTTCCCAGATCTCTTTAAACTATGTTATGACATAAAACAGGCAGATTAAGTTAGCCTGTGTCAAAACAGTGACTGTATATTTTTGTCCTACGTAGTTGGGAACTGTTTCAGATTCTCTTTCCTGACTGGACTAGAAAAGAACACATTTGTCAAATTGATAGCTGTATATCGTGTCTTGAGACCATGTTAGTCTCTTGGAACATAGATACCATGTCTAGAATGGTGGCTGTGAATGGCCTCATCACTTCCAGTAATCCATGGTAATTCCTCAGAATCCATCCAATTTCTACAGGGGCCGGATTAGCAAGTTCAGGGATTCATGAGATCCCTTTTAGATTATTAAGGGTAGCATTCATCCCTGCCATCTTTTTGGGGTACAATATTATTTGGGGGTTACTCCCTTGGGGGCTGGGAGAGAGAGGTGTGTTTCATCGGCTTTGTTTTTCCCACTATGATAGCTCTTGGCCCTACACAGGCCAATCACCCAATGTAGAGGTCGAATCAATTGCCATGTGTATCAGTTGCAATTGTGCATACATTCAGGGAATAGGAAAATGATCAGCAGGTGGCTCCATAAAACCAGTAGAAACACTGTAAGCTAGACTTTGGCCCCCACATGCCTCTACTCTAATGGGTGGCTGTGATGACGTTCGTGGTCTCTTAAGCTCAATGTCAACTCAGACTCTTTCCAATACTACCTAAATTTCCTATCCCCAATGGAAGAGTCACCTGACTTGACAGTCAGTTCCTTTGGGAAAGAATTGAGAAAATTGTTGTGCTCTACACTCACCATAGTATTACAAGGTCCTTTCTCTGGAGACTCAGAGCCCTGGATCCCTGGACATCTCTTCAATCAATGGATTCTGGTTCTAAAAACAGGATCAGATCTAAGAAATGAGCAATGAGTCAGAATTTTTTATTGGAGTGACACATGAAGTCTCCTATATGACACTGGCTTCCTGCACCCTGGTTGTATGCCCATCAGTTTTGACACTAGGGAGCCATAGCTTTTAACCATCTCCACAATTCTTTGCTAGTTAAGGCCCCTTGGCAGCCACTCCAGTCTTTCTGGTCATAATGATAATTGCATCCCCATGGCTTCTGGTAATTAAGCACCACCACCTGGCCTGCTTTTGAGTTCCATCATTCTAATCACTATCAATAAGCCAAACTTTGTGACAGCCTCTCTGTTTTAGCCCAGGCCATCATGCAGAGGCAGCCACCACTAAATGCTGATGACCATCTCAACAGTGCTTTTCCCATGGTCTTGGT